TTCATTTCTCTATCAACCATGCAGCAGCTAGTTTTTCAGAAAGTTTTTTACTTTATTTGGGACCCACCATAACCATATCATTCTAACATATACACCACCATATATTAATTTTTTTGGTGTCCAAATTATACAAACTTAGTCTCTATTTATAGATCTTGAAAAATAAAGAATAATGGTGCAAAAAAAAAAATTCAAATTTTTTAAATGCCTAAAACTCAATTTAAAAGAAAGGAAAAAAACTAAATTTGATGGACCAATAAAATCCTGCCACGTCGCGTGTGGCAGGGATTGTGGGGGGCTTTTGATTTTTTAGTTTAATTTAAAATGCAGCTATAGGGCCCACTGTGGCAGATTTCACCATAGGGAAAAATTTTCCCCTTCTGCTCTTCTTTTCAATTTTCCCCTCCCCTTTCCCCTCCTGCTGCACCCAAAAGTCCCTCAATTCCCTTCCTGCTGGAGATAGTCTTAAAGTTACTTTTTAAACAAGGGAATTCCCAATTTTTTAATATATTCTGTGAACACCGTGCAAAACACGATATTTTTTTCCCCACTGCAATAATCTCGGTTTTAATTGATACAGTAAATTTTTGAATTTCTACAGTAATATTTTTCAAAAAACACGGCGCCTACTTTCATGTGTGCTACAGTAATAATGCTACAGTAAATAATACTTTAGCATTAATAGTGAATATTGGGTTCTTCCATTTGTATATGTATAGAGGAGTAGATGGGTTTGTAAAAAATTTCTATTTAAAAACTAAAATTAGTAAAAGAATGAAAGAGGTTGGAAAAACTCAACGTGAGATATCCGAGGGGATAATTTTGTAAATATCAAAAGTTAGAGGGTAATTTCTACACAGAATAGTCCTCCATTTGTGGGTCATAAATGTATCTTATCCGAGTCACCATTTGTGGGTCCCCGATGCAATCACACGCTTCGCAGGCGGGAAGCTAACGTATCTCCCTGTAACCCGCACAAAGTTTGATCGCGCCCGTCCACCTCACCACGACTGTCTAATTGCAAGGTTCAGATTCTTCTAATAACTAATAAGTGAAAGCGCTTGACTTTTCTGTCGGTGTAGCTTAAGTTAAACGATACCGAACGCCCACCAAAAGCGAAACCGCTGGCTGTTTTATGGTCGTGGGCTGAATCACAAAGGTAAAATTTTGAATTGTTGTTGTTGTAATAATCATCTCGGACGACGATATTTAATCACATCCGTCAGATCACGAACACCTTTCAGATCTTCATCGAACGGTCGTAGCCGTTCAAAGAACCTTAATCAGGTTTTATAAAAGATATATGAAAAAATAATCCTATTTTGTAATGCTCACACTTGGGCACAGTGGCGGCCTCTTTTCATGGAGAGCGCTAGAGGCTTTGAATTTTGCAGTACCGCATGCATGCGTGACATTAACATTATAACAAATAATAAAAAAATTAGAAAAAAATTTAATATGAATATTCGTATCTGTTATTAATTATAAACATATACGACAAATATGTTTAGTAACCAAATTTATCAATTTACTTACATAAAAAATAATTATATATAGAGATTAAGATAAAAACACAAACATTAACATAGTGAGTGTGAGAGAAGCGAGCGAGTGAGAGAGAGGAGTGAGAGATGGAGGGAGGGGTCCGGGGGATCAAGTATAGTGTGTGAAGAAGTGAGTGGAAAGTGCTGGGGTGGGAGAAGGGCGGTGGGGGGGGGTGCGGATCGGGGAGAATATTGATTCAAATCTAAAGTTAATACGGTTTGGTAGATAGTGGGCGGGTGGGGGGGGGGGGATTGAGTTACGTAGCCACGGAAGGCTTGTCACTGGAAGTGCCAGGACAGAGAAAGTGGGGGTAGGGTGGGGCCGAAGCCCCACCGATCTGCAAACGGAGGCGCCGCCTGCAACCTCCCCTCATCCGCTTGCTCTCAGAGGGAGCTGACAGTGCCAGCATCGGGGGTGGCCTTCGGTAACGCAACACTGCTCGCACTCCCTGTGTCGTTCAAAAAATCCCATCGTCGTCCCGTTAAGAGGCTGACTATATATTCCATCAAGCAACAGAAGGTCGAATCCGTCGTCGAGAACGGTTTTTTGAACATACTGGTAGCACGCCTTTATTTTTCGTAAAATAATCCTGATTACTACGTCATTGCTGATTGGCATAGGTAAGACTTCAGATATTTGGATCTCAAAGTATATGTTGGTCTCATTCCAATCGACACTCAACATTGTGAGAATTCTTTCGTACCTTTCATTGCTAGCACGTGTACGGGAGTAGGTTATAAAATACGGGAGTAGGAATATCACTTGCCTGGTGATTTTGCCCTAGGCAATACCGCAGTTAAAGCAATTTCTGTTGCTGATATTTTCACCCTACGCCTGTACACAACGCACTCACGTGAGAAGCGTGTGCGTTGGGTCATAATGGAGCGAGAACATCAAGCGTCTTGAACTTTGGGAATACAATCGGGGATTATTAGGTTTGAGACGAGCGTAACACCAAACCCAGAGGGGTCCCACCAAAATAAGAAACCGAAATTCCCAATGTGCCCCCCACCCGGAGGGGGCATAATGGGAATTGGGGGTTGGATTAAAAGCCGCTATTTCAATCCCCAACTCCTCCTTCCTCGACTTATTTCGAGGAAAATAAAAAGAAAAATCGCGTCTTTTTCTCTCCTTTGTTGCCAAAGGAGGGATTTCGGTTCGTTGGAGGACCCCATTGATGAGAGGTTCTGAAGAGAGCCATGCGATATCGTGATAAACCGAAGGGATTTCCGTTTATAGAAACCAATTTGCATTGGACATGATGAGGTTTGCTCGGATCTCCTCTCCTCTCCTTATCTCTCCTGGATTCGGCTTCAAGCTTTTGCTATTTTTTTTGAGAGTTTTTCTTTTTGATTCTTTATGTTGACTTGTTTCTGGATTGTGATCCACCTGTTTTTGACAAATCTTGCAGATTTCTTGCCCCAATTCCTTTTAATATCGCCGATTTCTGGCTTAAAAGCTCGTTTTTATGTCCTCATGCTGCTGTTTATTGGTTCTTGCGCTTAGAGCGAAGATCAGTGTCTTCGTCGAACTGTGATTTCTTAGTGCAATTTGGTGCTTAGAGTTAGAGATTTCTCCTCTCTTTGTTTTGTTTAGTCTTTGAATGAATCGGGCTGTTGAGTTTACTGATAAAGATTTGTTCTTTCCCCCCCTATTTTCTTTTGATTTACGGTCTGATTGAACCTGGATCTTTGGTTTCCAGTACCAACAGTAGCATATCCCTCTTTAGATTATGCCAAATTTGGCATAATTTCCTCAATTCTTTTCATGAGATTGCATCTTTTTCCCCCTTCCAAGTTTCCCGTCTTTAGATATCCAGGTTTTCAAATTTACAGTAATTTTTATTCTAATTACCTACTTAATCTGGCTTCTGTTCGCAATGAAGAAGAACAGGCAGCATTTCTTTCATTTTTTTTCCTTCTTATTTTTAAGATAATTTATGATATTCCACTAAGATACGCACTCTAATCTTGTTCCTCATTACAAAGCTCCACGATTTCCATATCTTTGATTTCTCTATTAATCTTGTGCTCATTAAAAAGAAGGAGAGGGTATTCTGATCCTATCGCTGTTATTTGTTTCCCGATTTGTCTTGGGTTTTCATTTTTCCCTCAATTTTTTACCTAATTTTTTCTGTTCTATTTTGATCAACAACAGATATCAGAGAGTAAGCCCAGATTGCCTCCGAAAGCCCACCAGCGTCAAGGCCTACAAAGACGACGAGCCCCTCCGGTTCCGATCCGGATCCGGATCCGCGAACCCGACAACCCAAACCCACTTCCCCCACTTCCCCTCCACTTCCGGCTCGCCGGAAAACCCTAAGCCCCAACTCAACGGAACTCGCACCGACGTCCTGCTCCAGTGGGGCCACAACAAGAGGTCGAGGGGCTCGAGAGCGGCCGAGAGCCATCGGACGGCTGCCGATGAGTCTTCGGTCCATCCGAGGTCACATGTCAAGATCCAACGACGGGTGGCGCTAGGGTAGCCGGCCGGAGGGACTGCTTGCCGTTGAGGGATTCTACGAGCGCTAATCATAGCAGGTAAAGCTTTAATTTTTGTTTTAATTATGAAGATTATTTTTAATTCGCGTAAGTTAATGATCTTAATTATGAGGATTGGCTTTGATTCTTATATGTAATTTGGGTTAATTAATAAATATTTTCTTCTCTGTTATGTTGCCCTCTATTGGGTGTTTATTCTTTTTAAGATTATTATTATTAGTTTTGTTATTGTTATCTTGCTATGAGGAATCTTTGTATGGGGAGGAAAAGGGGGAGCTTTGCCTTTTTATTTAGTCAAATTTTAATTATATCTGCAACAATTGGGTTTTTTCTGTCTGATTTGTGTTATTAATGCTGTTAATTATTATGAGGATTGACTTCGATTCTTAATCCGTATTGACTGTGTTATAATACCTTCGACTCAGCGCTCTCTCTCCCCCCTCTACCTTATCTAGAATATTTATCGCATCATATTTTGATTCATTTTTTAGATTTTAGATTATGAGGACATTTTCAGATCTGACATGTGGTAGCAGACTTTATGGATCAATGGTTGGAAAATTTACCACATGCCCTTCTTTTTTCACTTAATTGTTTTTCCTCAATAGTACAATAAAAAGCAACAAAGGAACCCAACCCACCACTACTTATTATTAATTTTCTCATTATATAATGATACCATACAAGCTTACCATCATTCTTTATACTCTCCTCTTTTTCGCTCCTCCCTGTTCCCCCTCTCACCAAACGCTTGATGTTGATCAGGACCGTTGAAGAGAAATCGAACGGCCACCCTCGATCCGACAAGCGATCACCCCCATCTCCGCCGGAGAAGTCCCCCGCCCATAACAACGGCAAGAACGGCCGGCCCGCCACGGGTTTGGGTTGGAGCGGAGATGCGTCCGAAACATCCGTCGCGATCGAGAAAGCCGCAGCAGCTGCAGCGGTGGGCGCTGGCAGCGGCAACCACGGCCGGTCGATGAGGCCGTTTGAATGGCCGAGGATTTATATATCTCTATCGAGGAAGGAGAAGGAGGATGATTTTTTGGCGATGAAGGGGACTAAGTTGCCACAGAGGCCTAAGAAGAGGGCTAAAAATATTGATAAAAATCTTCAGGTAATTAGAGTTGTTATAAAGGCTATTATCGTAATTGAATAAATTTAGTGTAATGATATTATTTACTAATGTTTTAGTGGTGGGCAGTATGTATTTCCAGGGATGTGGCTTTCAGATTTGACGAGAGGACGGTATGAAGTGAGGGAGAAAAGATGTGTGAAGAAGGTAAATGATTTTAATCATGAAGGTTCAAGGTCATGCTGGGTAAAGTTTCTTTATTTACTTATTTTTTTTTTTAAATTTATAACCCGGAAAAAAAAGGAAAAAACCAATTGAGATTCTTTTTAACTTTTTTTTTGTTGCCACTTATAGGTAGATTTACTTAGTAATACTAAAAGCCTATCTTGAATCGGCCTTTAATAAAATAAGTGAAAATAAGTAATAAGCAACTTATAAGAAATCATGAAATAACTAGTTGCCAAACATGCCCTTATTCTTTGTATAAATATATAGGAACGAGGATACTAACTGAAATAAAATGCATAAATCAACAGCAAGCGACTAGAGGATTTTCTTTTGCATGTGAATTTCTCTAGAATGTCATCATTGTTGACATTTTCTTATTTGGTCAGAGCATACGATGACTTAAATTTGTGTAACATCCATTAATTGTTATTGCTTTAGATTACGAAGTTGTGTGCAAAATACCCCTTTGTTTGATCGTCTCCTACCCTTTTCCTCTCTTTGTTCTGTACTTTTATATTTGGGTCATCATGGTAAGCGCACCCAATGCTTCTCCTGGAATTTTCAGAGTGAGTGGGACCCGTATGACCCGTTTAGAGTAGGTGGAATTTTGGGTGCGATTTTGGTTTTGTTTTGTAATAAAAGGGTGGATTGTTTTGCTCGTGAGAGTGAAAGGTGCACGAAAGGCCACGATATAACAGCAAATAGGAAAAAACGTGATAAAAAGAAAAAAAAAGTGGGGTGCCAAAATATTAAAATTTAAAATGATTAAAATTGATGGAAACAAAGTCACTCTTTTTAGTCTTTTACTTGGGTCCCAAACTCTTCTAATCCTGTGTGCTTGCCTTGCCTTTATTTATTTTGACTTATTTTTTTGTTGTTGTACACGTATGCAGTTTAACTGCATACGTCAACTTGGGGCCATGATGTTTCTTTTACAAATGTCAACTTGGGTCAAAAAAAAAAAAAAAAAAAAAGGAAAAAAAAAAAAAAAAAAAAAAAAATTTGGGAAAAAAAAAAAAAAAAAAAAAACGGAAAAATAAAATAAAAATCTTATTACGCAGACAACTTCCATTTATACTAGAAAAATAACTTGCATTAAAATTTACCGTGCATTTTTGGAAGGTTAAAATAGCACTCATTACCCTATTGTTTCACCTACTTTTCACTTATATACCCCACTTTTCTATTTGATTGCAAGAAAATACCCTATAGTTTACCAAAGTACCTTCCATCAGAATATTCTAGGAAATATTGTCAGATGTTCATTTGAGTGACTCGTATACCCTTGAAGGTTCATTAATTTAAAAATAAAACCTACCAAATACAATTGGAGGAGGTTAATTGAAGGAGCCATTTGGTCAAATCACCGAAAAAGTAGCTGCCGGTTTTTAATTTTAATGGATTATATTTGGGCATTTTCTTGCAGCCAAATATAACTATATTAAGTGTGGGGTATATATATCTGAAAAGTAGGTGGTGGAACAATAGGGTTTACAAGTGCTATATATCCTTTTTGGAGTGAACAAAAGTTTGTGATTGTTTTTTTAAGAAAATAGTAAAGAAATCATTTTATTATCTTAAAAGTTTACCCGCCAATTTGGGCACATGTTTGAGAATTATAATTTGTTTTTATATTGTATGTATGTTACAGAAACGAAGGGGATTAAAGGGCATGGAGAGCATGGATAGTGATTCTGAATGAGTATACAAAGTGTATTTATTATGGTGAGATGGAAAGGAAGGCTGAGGCTGAGGCGGAGAGTTAAAAATTTGTAACCGTTTTAAATCTATAAAAGGATCCCTCAGTTTCTTCTCTTCAATTTCTCTGCTTATCTTGTTTTTCTTTTAATGGGTTACCAGGGTTTCAATCTTTTTCCTTGAGTTAGAGTCGTTGGTTGGCTGCCCTCCGAAGTTTTTGAAGGGGATGGATGGATTTCGATGGCGGAGTTGAGCTAGAGCTTTAGGTTTTTTCTTGCTTGTACATAACTTTCTTGTTTTATCATCAAAATGAGGAAAATAACAACTTTACAAAAATAATGAATATTTCAGCCTATCGCTTTATACGTTCATGCGTTACGTGTTCAAAATTTTTAAATTTTTTTTATAGCCCATTCAAAATTGAACTCAAAATTGTGGAAGCACGTGGGAACCTCCAAACCGTTCGGGTCACCCGTAGTGGTTCTTCTGTTTTTTTATGATTATAATTACTAAAACTTGAATTGCTAGATATTACTATTATTCAAGTAAATAGAAATATTTGGATTACGATGTAAAGATTAAGAGTAGTGATTACTGCGCTACTCCCTTCGCTTGTAGTATTTTGGCACTACCGTTTACAAAAGAGTGAGGTTATGAAACATGATAATTTTTGAGTGTACTATTCTCTCTATAGTAATTAAGAATCACTACTCACAAAGAGTAGGATCATGATGACTCATCACTTGAAAATTGTACTGCTCAGTCATCATGACCCCACTCTTTTATGAATGGTAGTGTCAAAGTAGCATAGAGGAGCATCACTACTCAAGATTAATGGGCTATGGATATCAATATCCACATTATAAAGGCGCTCCACCTCCAACTCGGCGGTATAGAGAAGCTCCTAACTCCTCTAATGAGATTTGAGATTTAGCTCTTCCCAATAATTAAAAGGAGCGGAGTGATCGGTATTTTTTAATACAAGATGTCTATTATTCAATAGACACTAATGTACAATGATAGTTTATTTACAAATTCCAATCATTTACACTTTGGGGCTGTTTGGATAGGTTTTTTTGGGTGGTAAAAAAGGAGAAAGCTACCAAAAATGTCAGCTTTTTGACAGCTTTCTCCCAAAATCAACTTTTTAAGAGGTGATTTTGGGGGAAAGCTGCCAAAAAGATGACATTTTTGACAGCTTTCCTCACTTTTACCACCCAAAAAACAGGAACCAAACAGCCCCTTTACAATCGATGAAAACGATCAATTTCTTCGACAAGAATCAATAGCTATGAGAGGTGCAGAATCCGCTTCGGTGCTAGGCTTTTTGTTTGCTTCTTGTAGAGGAGTGATCATGCTTTCGGGGCTCTTTGGCTCCATTCGCCGGTGGGTATTGGATTTTTTTTCTTTTTTGTGCTGGCTGCCAAAATCCATATCCCTATTTGTTTTTATACGTACCCCTCTTCCCGCTTGTGTGAGGTATCCGTCAAGATCCAAGGACGATGTACGTGCAGCTTGTGCACGTGTGCTCCTAGTTTTGCCCCTCATCTGCTTGGTGCTGCAACCGAAACTGGACGTTCGTGGGTAAATTGTGGGTAAACCCCTTCACTTGTAACGTCAATAACGGATTTGGATCCTCTCCACTACAAAAAAGTAGTGGAGAGACCACTACTTTTAATCTCAAACGTTGATTATTTAGTAGGCGGTTATGATACAATCTAAATCTAACACTTACCATACCCCCGTGTATTGCACTCATTCCTAATTTGCACTAAAAGAAAAAATCATAACCATCAACTAGATAATCAATGGCTATGATTATGTAGTGGTCCCTCCACTATTTTTTTTTTTGTAGTGGAGAGGATCCGAATCCGTCAATAACAATTATCGTCCCCCGCCTGGTTTGGTATTTTCAGCGCTTAAAGGGGGAGAGATGGAATTATCTTAATTTATCCTTCTCAAAAAAGATAATGAAAACGTATGTAGTGCAAATAGGACCTAAAAGATGATGAAAATAATAAAAAAGAATAAACGGGTGAACTCTTGAGCGCTGAGGGGTATTTCCCTTCTTTTTTGGTCACTTGCTTGGGGGCATGACACGTTTGGAACTGCACAATGTTACTTTGAGAAATTAAAGTGGGAAATCATCTGGGACTTTAGTGGAATGATCTAGGGGGGTTATATATGAAAAACCCTCAAAGTTAAGGGAAAATTTGCACCTATTAAAATAGTTGAGGGAGATTATCCCAAAAACCGCGAAAATGAAGGGGGTTTAGTGAAATCCTCCCTTCTACTTAGAAGGACAAAAGAGGCATTTAGCTCTTGACATGTATCCAAACACGGTTAAAGCGTCAACCCTTCCTTATCACCTACCATAAATTTTATCAATCCATATCTGCTATTTTTCCTCTTTATTTTCTAGACATGGCGGATTCCTACTTTATGCGTAGCATTCCTAGTAAAGCAAAATCTGACCTTTCCAAGTAAACAGCATAACAAATAAAACCGTCAATGAACACAAAGAAATGATGAAAACTAATTTAGCGGAGCAAAAAAGCCCAGTCTTCACAATTTTGTCAAGCTGATATACGACTGAATATTGCTCTAGCAATATATTTTATTCCCCAAAATAAACCAATGCAGAGTTCACTGTATACAAATCAAATGCATCTAAATTGAACTACGTCAGCAATTGTTGTCATTTTATTATCTGCAGAACATCAACCAAAAAATTGAGAGGATTCTATCTTGCAGAAGAGCTTGAAAACTTCATCGAAAAAGCCTCGGCACAGATTGTTTAGGTATCTTGCCTTCAAGCTTCAGCCTGCGAAATGCTTCTCGTATGTGACATGGCCTAATTGGCCCCATTTCCTTTCTTTCTGCCATAATCATCCTACCTGTGAAGGCATGTACATGAGCAAATTTTAAAAATATCACATCAGCTGTTTTCTCATGTTTCAGGAAGATAAGTAGACACTTAAAAAGGGGGAAATGATGAATAATCGTGAGAGTGGTTGCCCTGTAAATATGAAAGAGGAATTAATGTTTCAATTATGAGACCAAGAAGAGTCCATTGTGATCTTCTTTTGCTGAATTTTTGTATAAAGAAATAGATGCATAAGGGACAGGTATTTGACTAATATCAAATTTTACTATACACCTTGAAGTAATTTATATATGAAAATTACCTTTGAAGTACCATAATTCTACTGGACATAGTCAATGCCTGCTTATCAGCAATTTACGATGGCTATGTAGATGAGACGAGCACTTAGGACTAACAGATCATGATAATAATTTGCATTATATCCAAAGGGAGGTAAAAGTAGACTAATTCAAATATTTAATGTTAAATCTAGAAACGGTCAGCTAAGTTACACAAATATCTGGCTTGAAAGCCCAAATCAATGGAGAAATAATTTAGATGCATAAAGAGAGAAATTCACATAAAAACATTAGATTGATATCTACTGAAGGGTTAGTCTATATTGTACTTGAAGTATTGACACGTGGCTAATCTTGAAAACCTTGTTAAACATTATGGATATCTCATAGGCAAGACTAATAAATTGAGATAACACTACCAAACAGCTAAACAACACAACAACATAAATTACTTCCAAGATCTATAATTCAAGTTTTACCAGAATAGTCATTGTTCTTCATTAAGAAATTAGATAAATAATATACGTTCTTTTCAAATCAGATGAAATTATGACACATAATTCGGGCAGAATTTTAACTTCTAGTCTTGAACAATCTTTGGTATATCTAGAATCCATTACAAATTTTTAGGATATGTCAGTGTATCTACTAATGACTGTCCAATGGAAATATAAAACTTCAGGATTTTTCTTTCATACTTGCTAATTGTGCATCCTGACATATTTGGTAAGTTAGCCTAACATAGGAAGTCCTAAAATGACGATGACGAGCGAGCTAACGGGATAAACAATACATTATTCCTCAGCAAAGACAGAATAGCAATTAACATTTATTTCCTCAAGTCAAACAAAACCTACCTTTCAGAACTCATATGATATTGTATCCTCACATAGATGAGTGATGGTTGGAGGAAATAACTAATATTAGTATCAAATTTTCCATCCAGACAAGGAAATATGCAGAAAACCAGGGATTTTGCCCAAAAATGAGATCCTTGCTACAGTTAAAAGCTTTTTTCTAATCAAATATGTAAATACGAGGCAAATTATAGAAAAGATTCCTAAAGCATTCATGTAACTTGAACTAAACCATAAGCTGTTAATTCAATATTACTTGCCTGTCTCTATGAGTTCTCCAACAAACATTTTGGCTATCCCAGATATCACAATTGTCATGGGCATAGAAACCTTTTGGCTTCCTATGATGCTTGCCAATATCTGTAGAAATAAATAAATATAGGAATTAAACATTGAAGTGTTCAAAACATAACCAAATACAAGGTTCCAACGAAGTCTTATTTATTTTAGGCTTTCAATGGCCTCAATTTATCATTGGCTGCGCACCACGACAAACATTTGCTGATACTTGGGACAATAAACTCATTTAGATAAAGATCTTTATACAATGTTCTCATGCTGTCAGTGTCCCATTTAATAAAAGGTGCCCGGATAGTATTTGCTAGGAGATAATAAGACTTAACTTAATGCTCACGACTATGTTGGCACAACCATGTCACCCAATCATTGGAACTTATGGGGTATTGTATCCCCACAACTGTTAAGCAGGAAAGCAATGTGTCGTCATATATGATTGTGTGTTTCTACTATGTGGAAGATTCTCTATTCTCCGTTCTCTTCAGAAAGCTGGAGCTGCACACGTGGATGCTAGATATTTCAAATCAGAGGATCCGTCAACCACACAAAATAGTTGATTGCCATCTGCACAGTTTGCACTGGCTCCTCTTAAAGGGGATTAAGTGCACATCCTATAACAGAAAAACTACTCGATTCCCTTGCCAAGAGCGTGCACTAGTCTATAGAGTCAAAAGACCATGATCCTCAGCGAGAGAATGAGGAGGACCACATATCTTTTTTTTTTCCTATTAAAATATTTTTATAAAGCATCATGCTGGTAGGAACATAGAGAAATGCATGAATAACTCTCGGCAAAACCAACTCTCTTTAGGCGCAATAAATTTTTTAGATTTCACATCTCTATTTTATCACATTTATTAGAAAGGAGGTAGAGATTTGTTCCAAGAAAGGGGGGGAAACCAAGTTTTGGATTCTACTATGGTTATTCTACTATTGTGAAATCAGCACCAGGGAATATGAAATTTTACATCATTTGAAATGTTCCAACGTTAAAGTAAAAATAAAAAAGAAAAGGAAACTGTCAGCTGAGATGCTTGAATCCAAAGTCATTGGATCCATGACGTAATAAAAACTAAGCTGACAGTTTAAAGACAGTCTTACGTCGTTCAAAAGGAAGCACAGGAGAGAGCAGCACTTGGAGTAAATGGTTAAAGAAAAAAAAGAACAGTTATCCCAGTAACTAGAAAACAGAAGTCAACAGCAATAATGGGCGTCAAAGGAGAACCAAAGGAAGAAGTAACTGACAGTTTATGCGCGTGAGAAAACAACCTAGAACATCCAGTAGGATTTATGTGCATTCATTTTGAATCGACAACTACATGCGTTGGCATAAAGCAAAAAGTACCAGAAGCAATGGTAACCTGTGAGATGAGCAATGAGGCTTTAAGTGACACTGGGGTACGCAACAGTTGTCTCTTCCTAGGGGAAAAGAAGTGGCTGAGATGATTAGCAGAAAAAAAAAATCCTTGTTGATGAGTAGTGAGATTGTGTGGACAACTGGATTAGCTTATAATGTAAATGAACTGCCAGGAGTGCTGTGGCAAATGTCACAATTTTGTGAGAACAATGGCCCGATTACCCTTATAGGTTCAAATCCATACTAACAATGACCACTGGTGGTTCCTCATTAAAGCATTGTCACCAAACATTTGGAAACTGGGAATACATGCAGTAAAAAAACATAAACACTTAGAAACTTCAAATCACATTGAGAACCAAGTTAAATAAATGGAAAGTTTATACGAATATACAATAACATCAACATGAATTATTCCTAAATTTTGACATATATAGATGTATTCACACGAGATCCACATAACTGTTACCTTTAGAATGCTCATACTTCCAGACACTTTTGTCTCCAACTTTTTGACAATTGTTTAATTGTTAAGGCTTATGCTGAAAGGTTTAAATATAACAAAGGGAAATCGTGACAGCTTGAGACTACAAGAAGCAGAGGCTTCTCAAAGTGTATATTTTAAGTTGTTGAGACAATGCTCGAGACGTGCTACTCAGATCTTGTTCAGTCATGTCATTGATGCCTAATCCGTTCATACATCGTTTAATTACCTAAAAAGTCATAATGCCACATATTGAGGATATTATGCACTACCGGTTTCCAGCAAAATAAAGCTTTATAATGAGCACTGAGCAGAGATGAATGAAGCCATCTGATAGTCATGTACTAACTGTTCCTAATGAATAGTAACCCACTGCACGTAACCAAGCAAGCAGACATACCCTCCTCATATTAGCTTTCTGAAAACCTGATCTTCTGAACGATTCATATCGACTCATTTGTTCCTCAGTAAACTGGGACAATATTGCCCTGAAAGAGACAGATTGCACGCACGTGAAGGGTGAAAATGAATTCCAAAGACGAAAGTTAGACATGCCCACCACCAGTAAAAACAATACCAGATTATTCCTTCGAACAAAAAAGAATTCTGCCACTAAGGCATTGTGTATCTTTAGATTGACAGTAAATTCCAATGCAAGAATCTCCCATGCTCAACATGACTTAAAGATTCTACGGATACCACCTAGTTCTCTTTTTTTTTCCAAGGAGCTATAACATTGGATTGCTAGGCTCATCCTACTGATTTCTAAGTAAATCGAGCGGAGTTGTGCGATAGAATCAGGGCAACACATTTCATAATCTAGAGAACATCTGCCGACTTAAGCCACCAAACATGTAAACTAATGGCTTTGAGTCCACTGATTAATTTCTTCATATCGCATTGTTGGACAATTGAATTTATAACTAGAGTACAAGGTCGAGATTTCTATTATGCGACGTAACTAAAAAGCTAGGTCAAAACTCCCCCATAATTAATCTTTTCCTAAAATTAAAAATCCAATTAGAAAATCGATAAAAGGCTAGGGTTTGTGAAACTGACTGCATCTTGGCCATAGTATCGGGATCGCCAACGGCGGCGGAAGAGAACTTGCCAAACTCCACGTCTCCCACGTTCTCCTCGTCCTCGTCCTCGTCCTCCTCCTTAACTCTAACTCGTCCTCCCCGTCCCTTAAAGAAAAAAAAGAACAGTTATCCCAGTAACTAGAAAACAGAAGTCAACAGCAATAATGGGCGTCAAAGGAGAACCAAAGGAAGAAGTAACTGACAGTTTATGCGCGTGAGAAAACAACCTAGAACATCCAGTAGGATTTATGTGCATTCATTTTGAATCGACAACTACATGCGTTGGCATAAAGCAAAAAGTACCAGAAGCAATGGTAACCTGTGAGATGAGCAATGAGGCTTTAAGTGACACTGGGGTACGCAACAGTTGTCTCTTCCTAGGGGAAAAGAAGTGGCTGAGATGATTAGCAGAAAAAAAAAATCCTTGTTGATGAGTAGTGAGATTGTGTGGACAACTGGATTAGCTTATAATGTAAATGAACTGCCAGGAGTGCTGTGGCAAATGTCACAATTTTGTGAGAACAATGGCCCGATTACCCTTATAGGTTCAAATCCATACTAACAATGACCACTGGTGGTTCCTCATTAAAGCATTGTCACCAAACATTTGGAAACTGGGAATACATGCAGTAAAAAAACATAAACACTTAGAAACTTCAAATCACATTGAGAACCAAGTTAAATAAATGGAAAGTTTATACGAATATACAATAACATCAACATGAATTATTCCTAAATTTTGACATATATAGATGTATTCACACGAGATCCACATAACTGTTACCTTTAGAATGCTCATACTTCCAGACACTTTTGTCTCCAACTTTTTGACAATTGTTTAATTGTTAAGGCTTATGCTGAAAGGTTTAAATATAACAAAGGGAAATCGTGACAGCTTGAGACTACAAGAAGCAGAGGCTTCTCAAAGTGTATATTTTAAGTTGTTGAGACAATGCTCGAGACGTGCTACTCAGATCTTGTTCAGTCATGTCATTGATGCCTAATCCGTTCATACATCGTTTAATTACCTAAAAAGTCATAATGCCACATATTGAGGATATTATGCACTACCGGTTTCCAGCAAAATAAAGCTTTATAATGAGCACTGAGCAGAGATGAATGAAGCCATCTGATAGTCATGTACTAACTGTTCCTAATGAATAGTAACCCACTGCACGTAACCAAGCAAGCAGACATACCCTCCTCATATTAGCTTTCTGAAAACCTGATCTTCTGAACGATTCATATCGACTCATTTGTTCCTCAGTAAACTGGGACAATATTGCCCTGAAAGAGACAGATTGCACGCACGTGAAGGGTGAAAATGAATTCCAAAGACGAAAGTTAGACATGCCCACCACCAGTAAAAACAATACCAGATTATTCCTTCGAACAAAAAAGAATTCTGCCACTAAGGCATTGTGTATCTTTAGATTGACAGTAAATTCCAATGCAAGAATCTCCCATGCTCAACATGACTTAAAGATTCTACGGATACCACCTAGTTCTCTTTTTTTTTCCAAGGAGCTATAACATTGGATTGCTAGGCTCATCCTACTGATTTCTAAGTAAATCGAGCGGAGTTGTGCGATAGAATCAGGGCAACACATTTCATAATCTAGAGAACATCTGCCGACTTAAGCCACCAAACATGTAAACTAATGGCTTTGAGTCCACTGATTAATTTCTTCATATCGCATTGTTGGACAATTGAATTTATAACTAGAGTACAAGGTCGAGATTTCTATTATGCGACGTAACTAAAAAGCTAGGTCAAAACTCCCCCATAATTAATCTTTTCCTAAAATTAAAAATCCAATTAGAAAATCGATAAAAGGCTAGGGTTTGTGAAACTGACTGCATCTTGGCCATAGTATCGGGATCGCCAACGGCGGCGGAAGAGAACTTGCCAAACTCCACGTCTCCCACGTTCTCCTCGTCCTCGTCCTCGTCCTCCTCCTTAACTCTAACTCGTCCTCCCCGTCCCTGCGATCGCAGAACCGGCAGCTGCCGGTCCTCGGAGTCTCGTGCCGTTGTCCGCTATCGTCGACGGTGGGGAGCGAGATCGACGGCGGCGGAGGAGGCGGAGGCGGAGGAGATTCGGGAGGGGAATCTTGATCCTCGAAGGCGGCTTCGAAGGGATCCTTCATTTGGGGGGAAGAGAGAGATTTTGATGGAGGGAAATGTTTAACGCTGATGAAACTTTTTTAGCTTATTGTTCCAATTTGTGTTCGAACGTATAAAAGCTATCGCATAGAAAAACCTTTTGGCTGTTTTTCACTTGGCTGCCTAAAGTTTACATATTTTTCTGATTTTGATACTTTAAAGGATTTTTTTAAAAGATTTGATCCTCCAAAGTTTTAATCTTTTATTCACTTTAACATGTTCTATGTTAAATTTATATAACGTGCTTGGCACGTGATACCACCCTTATTTGTTAACTGGAAAAATTCGATCGTTTTGATCCCGGCCAACCGACTAAAAGGGACCCAATATAATACAAATTTAATAGAAAATCTAATAAAATCTAAGATAAGAGATTAAAAAAGAGAATGGAATTGAAACTTTAGAATGTTAAAATGGGTGGACTTTGCGTGCCAAACTGAAATTAAGGAATAAAAAGCTTATATAATGTTTCTTGGCTCACAACAAAGAGCCCCACCCCCCCAACTATATATCCTGATCAAGGCTAGTAACTTGCATGTGTGTCATGATAGTAACACTGGTAACAACACGAAGTGACCGACCAATATTGTGTTCTCAAAGTAAACGGAGGTCGGTGATATCACTAGATGTTTTCGACTAATGTGATGATATAATAGTAAATCCAGACTTCATAATCCAGATCATCAATAGGCCTTGATCAGAAGTAACGCTCTTTAAGTCGCATCAATTTATTGTTACACCAGTCAAGATCATGGAATGATGCGCTAGACCCGTGTATATTCATAATAATAATAATAATAATAAAGTAATTTATCATGAACAATTCAATTGAGAGGAGACATGGAACAAGGTAAACAAATTATCTGCTCGTTCTGACAAAAGGTGGAAGGTAATTGAACATGCAAACGTTGAGCTTGGGTCCATGCTCAAAGTTGACTCAATGTCTGGTCAACTGATTATTATGACCTTGCTATATTGGCTCAAGCAAGCTACACGTAGTTGGATTGAGACTAGAATCATATAAAAACTTCAGCCGGAAAAAAAAAATATGAGGGTCATCGGAGAAGATTATCTTGGTTGATTCACTCAACATCCTAAGCATTTTTGGATACTACTACATTTCCATCCCTCAAATCTTGGTGGAAGCTAGCCTCACGGTTTACTGCTGCTTTTAGAGATGTATACAAATATTTTCGTCTTGTTTTCTAATATAGCGTAAAGATCTCTCATTTTTACTTGTGGATGTAGGATTAGGTTGTAACGGAATCGCATGAGCTTGGTTGTCTGTGTTGTTTCTTCAACAAAGTGATATTAAAGTTGAGAACGTTGAGACTGTGTGGATAGCGTTCTCACCTACCCCTGCTACAGTGTTCACCTACCCTAAATAGTGTTCACCTACCCTTATGAGAAAACTTATAAATACCCCTCTAAGTTTGAGTTGTAATGCATCTCCGTAGCAGAGAGAGAAAGAGAAAGATACAGATATAATTAAGTTATATCATTGAGAGATCTTGAGAGAGAGTTTGTGAGAATTCTTGAAGAGTATCTTAATCAAGAGAGGGTGTTCTCTTTTATCTTTTTCCTTTATAACCTCGAAAGGAATGTAAAGGAATTGGGCTTCGTCGTTGCACCGTGGAGTAGCTCCGTAAGAGTGAACCACGTTATATATGTGAGTACTGTGATTGCATTCGTGTTTGCTGGTTTTATTTTGTGATTCCAATATCGTTTGGGTGTGTTTTGCGTCTCCATTTGAGGCGTTCTTGTTGGCGTGTATCCTAACAATTAAAGCAAGCCGCACACATCATATTTGTCCGATCGCTTGAAAGAGATTTTCGGTTCAATATTTTGCGAATATTAGGTGTAAACGAGTTAGTTTGCAACTCGATCGGATACTCATAAAGCGGTCTTCATTTGTGAAAGAACTCTGTTCGGCACAAAAGTCCTCCTTTCAAAAACAAGAGTTTTGCTAGGGGAAGGCCCAAGTCTCTCGGTGCGTTCTTTCGAATCCGCTGCGCCTTTTTCTTTTTGTGCTGTACAGTGCTCAACGTTCAAAGCAGCGCCTCATTCTTCGCACACGATAAAAGTTTGATGGTCCTGTTCAATAAAAGGAGATTATAGACTGTACATCCCTCCTAGTATTTACATGGAAATGTGTATTATTTTTTGCAATCTCTTTAGCATGCATGTGTAGTCCATTGATGTCGTACTTGTATGTATGTTTGCAATCAACATTTACGTCTGTCTCTGTACGTAGTAATGATGATCATCACCATCATATGTTCATCATCTTATGCCCAGGGCATTTTTAGGATTGACTATGAATAATAATCTTTTTGAGCCTACAAAATACTCAGTAGATCATCCAAATCATTAATTCGCGTCGTTCATCATGTTCTGCATACACCATTAAAAAGCGGAAAAAGCCCTTTGGTTCATACGTATTTGGCAATGATTTGTCATAAGAAGACCATTATGGTAAAAAAAAAAGGTATAAATATTTCAGCTAGAGCATTCGACTAGTATCACTTACCTTTTTCAACAAAAGGATTTAAATGTTTTACCAAAGTTTTACCCCGCATTTCAATACAATCCGTATGATTACGAATCAAATCGAAAGGTCACCTAGACTGATAAATTCTCTTATAGCACTGATCTTGTTGTTCTCTTCTTCTCTTTTATTCTCTCCAAGACCCCCCAACATTTTTGGTCATGGCAAATCATTAGAAGCCATCAACGCTGTCTCCTCATGCCAAGTAAGGCCCACATCATTTACCAAATGATTAAATCTCCAATCAAATCATGCACATAATTCTAAGATCAAACTCCCCTAACCCCACCAAAAAAATGAGCACACGCTGAAACAACACCAGTCCCCTAAAGCTTCAATCCTAATGGCGCTTTCGTAATATTTTCCCAAGCAAAAGCATCCCTTGACTACTCTTCCATGTTCGTCACCTCCCCCACCCCCCCCAAAGATCATAAGCTCTCAATACCCGCTGCTACCTTCGTTGCACTTGAACGCTTTTGCTTTTTCCACCAAAAAAAGAAGAGAAAGCAAAGAAATAAAAGGAAAAGAGGAGATAAAAAAAAAGGAGAGAATTATTCCCCATTTTTATACCACTCATCACCCTCACATTCCCTTTGAATCCCTCTCCATGGCTTCTTTCCTCTCCTCTCTCCTCCTCCTCCTCCTCTTTCTCTTCCCTTTGTTTGCTGACTCCCTCAACCAGACGTCTGTCTTGCTCTCCCTTAAACAATCTTTCTCCTCCTCAAACTCCTCCACTCTCCAAACTTGGAACCCATCGAAGCCTCTTTGCTCGTGGGCTGGTGTTAGCTGTGACGAAAACAAAACCCACATTCTCAAACTGGACATCTCAAACTCAAACATCTCAGGCCCCGTTCCTCCTTCCTTCTCTGGTCTCATCACCAAAATCTCAACCCTTGTTCACCTCAACATATCAAACAACCAGTTCAACGGCACATTGGATTGGAACTTCACCTCCTTGGTTGAGTTACAAGTGTTTGATGCTTACAACAACAATTTCTTTGGCTCACTCCCCCTCGGCGTGACTCACCTCCCAAAGCTCCGGCACCTGGACCTCGGCGGGAATTACTTCTCTGGATCAATTCCGGCGAGCTACAGCGAGTTCAGGGAGCTGAGTTACCTGTCACTTGCAGGAAACAGCCTTGGAGGTTTTATACCTCCTCAGCTCGGAAACGTTACGAGTCTGAAACAGCTGTATCTGGGCTACTTCAATAGCTTTAATGGAAGGATCCCGACCGAGCTAGGAAATTTGATCAATTTACTTCATCTTGATCTCTCAAACTGCGGCCTTGAGGGCGAGATCCCTCGCGAACTGGGCAATCTCAAGAACCTAGACACTCTCTATTTACAAACCAACCAGCTCATCGGCACCATCCCTCCAGAGTTAGGGAACCTGAGCAGCCTGAAAATCCTCGACCTCTCGAACAATGCATTGACAGGGGAAATCCCACGTGAGTTCTCCCAGCTACGGGAACTCAACTTCCTGTATCTCTTCATCAATCGTTTTCACGGTGAGATTCCGGGGTTTGTAGCTGAATTGCCTTATTTAGAAGGGCTGAAGCTTTCGGCCAAAATGAGGATGGTTGCGCACTGGCCTCTGTCCTGATCCTGAGCTCGGAAAGGTAAGGAGTGCTAGTTGGTAGCTTTGAGTGTTTCTTGAATCGGTTTTTTATCTAAATTAATTTGTTTCTTTATGTCGACGAACAAGCTCACTGGATTGATACCGAAAAATTTGTGCTCGGCAAAGAGATTGGAGATACTGATACTCTTCAATAACTTTTTGTTTGGTCCGTTACCAGATGAACTTGGAATATGTTCTACTCTTTTGAGGGTTCGAATGGGTCAGAATTACTTGACTGGCTCGATCCCTCGTGGGTTTCTCTACTTGCCGGAACTGGAGTTACTTGAGTTACAAAACAATTATATTACAGGAGCGATCGCCGAAGAGACTGCGAGGAGGCCGGAGAAGCTAAGCCAGCTGAACTTATCCAATAATAGACTGTTCGGGCCAATTCCGAAATCTATTGGAAACTTCTCGGCTCTGCAGAGCCTATTACTCGATGGAAATCAGTTCACCGGAGAAATCCCGCATCAATTAGGCCTATTGAAGCATACACAAAAGATTGATATGAGCAAGAACAATTTCTCTGGTACGATCCCTGCGCAAATTGGTGAGTGTTTCTTGTTGACGTACTTGGATTTGAGCAGAAACCAGCTTGTTGGCCCGATTCCAGGTGAGATATCGAGAATTCGTGTTCTGAATTACCTGAATGTTTCGTGGAATCGACTGAGTCAGAGTATTCCTAGAGAAATTGGCATGATGAAGAGCCTAACTTCTGCTGATTTCTCTCATAACAATCTCTCTGGTAAAATTCCTGAAACCGGACAGTTCTCCTACTTCAATGCCTCATCATTTCTCTCCAATCCTTTGCTCTGTGGATACATTTCAAAACCCTGCAGCATTTCCTCAACTCTCCAATCTCCAAACACGAAATCCCAACTCCCGTTCAAATTCAAACTCGTTTTATCGCTAACCCTATTGATCTTTTCCATCATCTTCGCATTCACTGCGATCATCAAAACCCGTTCTGTGCTACGGAGGAACTCAAGATTCTGGAAACTAACAGCATTCCAGAAACTAGAATTCAATAGCCAAGACATCCTCCAATGCCTTCAAGAAAATTCTATCATAGGCAAAGGCGGAGCAGGGATCGTGTACAAAGGCACAATGCCAAACGGCGAACAAATCGCGATCAAGAAACTGCTTGCGATATCCAAAGGATCGTCTCACGACAACGGTTTCGCGGCGGAGGTTCAAACACTAGGCAAAATCAGGCATCGAAACATCGTTAGGCTCATCGCGGTTTGCTCGAATAGGGAAACTAAGCTACTAGTATATGAGTTTATGGATAATGGGAGCTTAGGAGAGGTGTTACATGGGAAAAGAGGAGGGTATTTGAATTGGAATATGAGGTTGAGGATTGCGTTAGAGGCCGCAAGGGGGCTGTGTTATCTGCATCATGACTGTTGTCCTCCCATACTTCACAGAGATGTGAAGGCCAATAATATACTTTTGGATGTGGAGTTTGAAGCTCATGTTGCTGATTTTGGGCTCGCTAAGTTCTTGAGGGATACCGGAGCTTCAGAGTGCATGTCCGCTATTGCTGGGTCTTATGGATATATTGCTCCAGGTATGAATTCTTCAGCCAGAGATCATGAATTTGTTTATCTTGGCCTATTTACTTACAGTGGTTCGTGCTTACTGCATACATGCCATTTTGAACTATTTTTTTGCTATTTTTTCTAATCCTGAAATTTTGCATATATGTTCCAGTCTTGGCTACTTGTAACACTGAATTCCAATATTCTACCTCATCAAAAACTTTGAGAGTCTAACTTCTTAATCACAACCATCGAACGTTTATTGCATGGATGCAATTCATTTTTAGTAGTAGTAGAAATGTGGGGCAAATAGCAAAGATATAATAAGCACTAAACTTGGTATTAATCATAACCGTTTACTAAACACTAGCCTTTGTGATTGAGAAAGTAGACTTTTTCTTGCTTTTTGACGACTGAGGAGATCAAAAGCCTCTCAGCAATAGGAAAAGGTATGCAAACATTATAATTTAGTGATAAGTTTTATACTAGAATTTTTTTACAGGTTTTTACTTTTGCATTACAAGGCATAAAAAAATACAGGGTATTTTGTTGTGAATTGTTGTCAGAAACCATGAAGGTCTAAAGATTCTGGGTTTTTGTGTCTTAAGGTACAAGAGTACCATGAAACTTAGAGTCTAACTAAAAACAACCCTAGCTTCTAATTTTTAAAGGTTTGACAAGATAGAAGGGCAGATTTGCTCAGGATCCATTCAGTCTAATTAGTAATATTCAAGTAGATTCTTTGAGGAGTCATAGGAGGATAATCTTAGTACTTAGATCTTGTTGCTCAGTTTCCTTCTTTTGATGATGGGGGATGTAAGGGACTGAATAAAATATAGAAGACAGAAAATTAAAAAAAAAAAGAACTAACATGCGCTTTTGCTTTCTTGCGTGCTTCTTTATTTTTATCTCTCTTTTGCGAAGCCCATGCCTCGAAATTTTGCTTTCAACACAATCACATTAACCTTTTTTGACCCAAGTCCATCACTTTGTCAACAACAAAACCCCAGATTCCAATTCTTTGTCTCTCTAGAATCCTGATAGGGATCCATGTGTGACACCACACAACAATAAAGCATATTCTACTTCCTTTTTCATCTTCAATCACCCAGATGTTCCGTAGCCTGTTTTGGCCTCATCTCCCACTTTCATGTGTCACACAAGACCAAGCCTGGCTTATAAATTAAAAGGGCTGATTGCGGACAGGCCCCTCGTAGTATCGTCCAATTCAGCGTAGATCCTATTTTATTTTATTATTGCAGACAGACCGCTGAGTGATCTTTTTTTTTTCTAATTCTCATTTTGTCGCTAGCGGACCTTCTGAGTGTAAAAGAGTCAAAAAAATTTCACTCAGGAGATCGAAGGAGTGTATCTGCAATTGGGAGATAGCATAGGAGGTCTATTCTCAATGATTGAACAAGTGGGGTCTATCCACAATTAGCCTAAAGAAAATGACCATGTTGTCCTTGCCAAAGTTGGTGAGACCTGGGCATACTACATCCATATGTTCATCTGCTCATGGTTATTTTGGCCCATTGATCTTCCAATATGCTAGTTTCAACAATTCTCGTTCCTTACACTTCTTCTTGTCTGCTTGGCCTGTAGTAGGTATCCGGTTCACTGCTTTAGGTGTTAGTACTATGGCTAGCGCTTATGTATCTGCATATTGTTGTACACAGAGTATGCGTACACTCTGAAGGTGGACGAAAAGAGCGACGTCTACAGCTTCGGCGTGGTTCTTCTAGAGTTGATTACCGGGAAGAAACCCGTTGGCGATTTCGGGGAAGACGGGCTGGATATCGTGCAATGGTCGAAGATGAACACGAATTGGAGCAAGGAAGGGGTTGTGAAGATCTTGGACTGTCGTCTCACCAACGTGCCCCTGGAAGAGGCGATGCAAATGTTTTTCGTCGCGATGTTGTGCGTCCAAGAGCGCAGCGTTGAGAGGCCCACGATGAGGGAGGTGGTTCAAATGCTCGAGCAAGCGAAGCAGTCGCTTGGTTTTCGAACGAGATGAGATGATCTTTTCATTTGTTTTTGGAGTAGGGGTCTGAGGGCGTTTAATTTGTTATTTTACATGTGGGTATGTTTGGTTTTGGGGGAGGTGTTTTTTTTTTCTTTTCCTTTTTGGTGATGGTTAGAATATTTTGCTAGCTTTGTCGCTCATAAGTACGTATGTATCGATGTAGAAGTTCTCTTGGTAAAATGCTTGTCAAGAGAAATTGTTTGGACGTCCCTCCTCTACATCATTGTTGCAAAAATCTCTACAACTCGCCGATCAAATTTCCTCATTTAGCGGACCCAGCGAACGGTATTAATTATCTAAATAATACAAGAACACTTTTAATTGCGGGATCCACTAAGGGGGTGTTTGTTTCAAATCCTATATGCACTAAGGGATTTGGAATACTACAATTTGTAATATTTTGTTTGTTTCAAGCTCAAATTGTAGCATTACTAAATGCTAAAATTTTGTAATATGATGAAGATGCTATCTTGGTGAGGTTACCTCCCACAAAAAGATAAAATTAGGATTTGTCAAATCCTCTCCAATTGAGAGGTAAGCACACCTATTTATGTGATTTGTCAAAATCCTCTCCAATTGAGAGGATTTGAAAAATTCTAACAATTGGACACTTTTTGCGCTTTTGGGATTCAATATTCTAAAAAATTTCTTAAAACAAACATCATATATGGAATCCCAAAATACAAAAAAACTTACTTTTTGATTCAAAAACTTGTAATCCATACCAAACGCCAAAATTTTTGGTGAAACAAACACCACCTAAGACCAGGCAATAGTATTAGTCCACCTAACTAATTGTAGGCATTACCTACCATCAAGATTGTAGAGAATCCGGACGTAGCGCTTGTATCCTTATAGCTGTAAGTATATGATAATATGTTTGTTTAATCTAATTAATCATCATTAGAGGGCGTTGACAAGTACTCAAATGGTTTATCTTTGCATTTCCCACCATTATTTCGGTTGCTGAGTGTAGGGACCACACATCGATCATCATCAAGAACAAGGTTATGGGATCGGAGCCTACATGGTCGAGTGTGGCTATCATTAGGATCATAAAATGGCATGAAATCAATTACGTTTCTCTAGTGAAAGTGTAAAGAGAGAATTAGACCGCCGAAAGTTGAGCTCATAGGGACTACAGGAGGCCCTAGCGGCAAATAGGAAAGAATCGATCAATTTTACCAGCAAGTTCACAATATAGTTTATGTCGATATTAATAGTGTACGTCTTTGGATAAAGCATATAAATTCCAAAGTCTATTGACCCAAATTTGGACCCAGGGGGCCTTGAAGAGAGATTCGGCCTTATTATACGCATTTTCTAGGAAAAAAAAACCTTTTAAGTTTTTTTTTATATTTAAAAAAGCATGCTAGTTGATGTACATGGAGCAGATGCCAGGGTATGTGGCAAAGTGAAGTCCTTTTCACTTCATCTTTCGCAAAAAAGCAAAAGAACAAGAACACTGAAAAGATAAAGGGAAGCTACGCCTTGCCTTCCTAGAGGTTTTAGTGTCACATGTGACCGGGGCAAAAAAAAAAAAAAATTATACGGACTTCCAAAATTCTATAAAGTTTTCACTGCTTGAATGAGAATGAATATGAAATGTACTGCCAAGATGCAGAAAATAAATAGTATACTAAGGGGCTGTTTGGTTCAATAGAGTGTAGGAATAGGATTAGGAATCCTATTTTATTTATGGATTCCAACCTAATCCATAAAATTTTTATAGACAAGTTGAAGTTTTATGGAATCCTATTTTTTTGGAATCCTATTTTTTTGGCATTCTATGTTTGTTTCACCCAAAGGATTAGGAATCTAACATTTATAGAATTGATCCAATTCCTAATACCATGTTTGCTTAAAAAAGTCTCTTTTTTGGGAATAAACACTGTAGCAACGGCTAGAAGAGGCCATAATTTCATATTTTGTGCTGGAATCACTGTAGCAACGGCTCTTTTCAGCCTCAAAAAATTCAGATTTCAAAAAACTTAGTCAGAACACTGTAGCAACGGCTAGAAGTGGAACATGGTGGCTATAAATTCACCTTGAGGCCTCACAATTAATCCAAACATTCTCAATTTCAGCATTTATAAAATTCCCATTGCCTTCAATTTGCTGTCCCGACATGAAAATGATATCAGAAGAGTGCTGGCAGGATTATGAAGTTTATTGCGACTGCCATCTTCGAACACCGATGAAAGTGTGCAAGAATGGTAAAAATAAGGGTAGGTGTTATTGGGGGTGTGCAAAATTCCCAAATAAAGAATGCAATTTTTTCGAATGGGCTGAAGAAAGAGGAGAGTCATCAAGCAACCAAGGAAGCCAAGACATAAGTAAATAGTTTATTGGGGGTGCAGGCTGCTAAGATGTTTTGGGTGACCCATTTTCGCCCTCTAAACCGTGCAACTAGGTCACTAGGTAACATTGCGTCGACGTGTGTGTCATCTATCAAACCAATGCAGTCCTATAAAAAATTATAAATTATACATAGTTAAATAAAAAAAAGTTTATTTGAAAAATTATTAAGTTGTATGTATTTAATTTACCTTAAAGTACGGAAAATAATTTGAGTTGTTTGCAATCTCCTCGGGAACTTCTTTTGGGGCTTGCTTCATGTACCGATCACGTAATCCATTCATTGCAGACAAGACTTTATTGAAATACCTGCTCACTGTTTCCCCTGATCTTATGAACTCAGTTCTTATTATTCTATTTTTAGTTTTGTGCCCAATAATACTCAAGAACATAGCAAGTTGTTCTTCAACTTGAACGTGTCTCGTATCTTTTAATAAACCGTTTGCTTTCATTACTTCAACAAGTTTAAAAAAGGCCATCGGTCTCATTCTAATATAAGATTGGCAGCTATCTTGATAGCCCTCCAGTACACGTCTGAAGTGAGCCTCTCTACAATATATTTTTCTAATCTTTTCTTGCTTCGTACAATTTGATATTCTCTTGCGCTTAGCACGCATTCTCAAAATACATGTTACCAAAGTGACCACGGCGCAGACAGCTGTATTAGCACACATCCTCTTCAATTCTTCCTCATCTTCCATATCCATCTACAACCGTTTTAAAATTATCATACAGTTACAGCTTAAGATGGCTACTTATTTCTTGTCAAAATTAAGTAGATAATTGATACAAATATTTATTTCTTTTAAAGCAAGAAATCTAATTGCAATAATAAATTATTTTAACTAATGTTGCATTCCATCTCACACAATTCTAAACAAGCAAGATAGACCCAAAACAAACAAACTATATGGTTAGATTACTAATAATTTACACGCACACAAAAAATGAAATAAAGTAAAAAAAACAGCAATTTAAGTTATTAAAAGACTGATTTGAAACATATTATGAAATTAATCTCTACACAGATACCCGCATGAAATTAATCTACCTAACAACCTAATTCTTGCACATTTACAAAAAATCCACTACACAGATACCCGCATGAATTGTTTTGCTGTAATATTATGAAATTAATCGCTTAAATCATTGAAATTGCTATCAGCCTCTATTTCTCATATGCTTCAAAATTAAAATTAATTCCTCAAATCACTGGAGAAATAAGCCAAAGTAAGAGAGGAAAATTTTTATACCTTACTGCAGAGGGGGGGAAATGCCGACGTTCAAGCAAAAAACCCACCGAAGTCAAAGAAAACACCGTAGCCACACTCCAACCAGAACAAGATCGAGAAAGAGGCCCGAACCCAAGTTGAAGAAGACCCCAACCAGAAGGGATCACCAAGAATCGAATGCAAGAAACCCACCAACAAGCTCTTGGAAAACAAAGCTAGGGTTTCGAGAAAGAGGCCAGAACCCAAGTTGAAGAAGACGAAGCGCGGGAGCAGAGGTGCGAAGAAGAGGGCGATGAGGCGGGAGCGGAACAGCGATTCCAGATCTAGGGATCGAAATCGTGAAGATGAGGAATCGCAATCGACGACATAGCTACCTGTCAGAAATCTCGCCCAAATCCGAACCCATAGCTCGGATTTGGGTTTCTCTAAAAAACGACAACTGTAGCTACTTTATGGAAATTGTAATCCCAAAATTTTTGCTGAGCCAAACTCCAGAATAGGATTCACAAAGAATCCAAAAATTACGAAAATACCACTGTCAGAGCCCAAATACTAATCCTATTCTATAAAAGGGTGAAACAAACAGCCCCTAAGTCTATCGGGTTGAATAATAAGTCCAAGGGATTGTATGATACGTCTATTGAGTTGAATAATAAGTCTAATTTTTTGAATATTAAAAAATATTAAGTGTAATAGATTATATGTTAAGTCCGGTTTGGTTCATGTTAAGTCAAATTCAGTACATGTTAAGTCTAATTCGGTTCATGTTAAGTCCAATTTGGTTTATATTAAGTCCAATTCGATTCATATTAAGTCCAATTTAAATCATATTAAGTCTAATTCGTCTCACGTTAAGTTCAATTTGGTTTATCTTAAGTCCATTTCGGTTCATATTAAATCCAATTTAAATCATGTTAAGTTTAATTCAACTTGTTTTAAGTCTAATTTAAATCATATTATGTAATTCAACTTGTTTTAAGTCTAAAAACAAGTTAAATTATATTTAACATGAATCATGTTAAGTCTAATTCAACTTGTTTTAAGTTTAATTTTATTTAAGTTCAATTTGATTCATGTTAAGTTCAATTTGGTTCATGTTAAGTCCAATTCGGTTCATGTTAAGTCTAATTTAATTCCTTTTAAGTCTAATTTAAATCATGTTATGCCTAATTCAACTTATTTTAAGTCTAAAAATAATAAGTCTAATTTGATTCATGTTAAGTCTAATTTAGTTCTTTTTAAGTCTAATTTCAATCATGTTAAATTTCTTTTATGTCTACTTTAAATCATGTTAAGTCTAATTTAACTTGTTTTAAGTCTAATTTCATGTTAAGTCCAATTTAATTAATGTTAAATCTAATTTAATTCATTTTAAGTCTAATTTAAATTATGTTATGTCTAATTCAACTTGTTTTAAGCCTAATTAAATTAGACTTAATATGAAATTAGACTTAAAATTAACAAGTTAAATTAGACTTAACATGATTTAAATTAGACTTAAAATAAATTTAACATGATTAAAATTAGACTTAAAAAGATTAAATTAGACAACATGAATTAAATTGGACTTAACATGAAATTAGACTTAAAATAAGTTAAAATAGACTTCACATGATTTATGTTAAGCCTAGTTCAACTTGTTTTAACTTATTTTTAGACTTAAAACAAGTTGAACTAGACTTAGCATGATTTAAATTAGACTTAAAAGGAATTAAATTAGACTTAACATGAATCGAATTGGACTTAAAAAAAATTAAATTAGAATTAGGCATAACATTGTTTAAATTAGACTTAAAAAGAATTAAATTAGACTTAACATGAATCGAATTGGAAGCCTAATTCAACTTGTTTTTAGACATAAAATAAGTTGAATTAGGCATAACATGATTTAAATTAGACTTAAAAGGAATTGAATTAGACTTAACATGATTCAAACTGAACTTAACATGAAACAAATTAGACTTAACATGAATCAAATTAGACTAAATATGAAATTATACTTAAAACAAGTTGAATCGGACTTAACATGATTCATGTTAAGTCTAATTCAACTTGTTTTAACTTATTTTTAGACTTAAAACAAGTTGAACTAGACATAACATGATTTAAATTAGACTTAAAAGGAATTAAATTAGACTTAACATGAATTAAATTGGACTTAAAATGAAATTAGACTTAAAATAAACTGAACTAGACTTAACATGATTTAAATTAGACTTAACATGAACCAAATTAGACTTAACATGAACCAACTTCTTAACATGATTTATATTGGATTTAACATGAATCAAATTGGACTTAACATGAACCAAATTGGACTTAACATGAGCCGAATTGGACTTAACATGAGCCGAATTGGACTTAATATGAACTAAATTGGACTTAACATATAATCCATTATACTTAATATTCAATAAATTCAACTTATTATTCAACCAAATAGACTTAACATACAATCCTCTGGACTTATTATTCAACCTAATAGACTTAGCATACAAGCCCTTGGACTTCACTTCCAACACATTAGACTTAATTTCACATTGGATTTGAACTTAACATAAAAAATCATCAAAAAATCATATCCAGCCGACATTTCTTTCTTTCCACGATGTTCAAACAGAAACTACGAATTTCATTAGACTTAACACACGAGCTCCTCTTCATCCTCCTCCAACACCGTCTCCTCTGCCTTGTTCTTCGCCTTCAGTGTCGGAGACCGATTTGTTGTTTGACGGATCCTCCGACGAGAACTTCGACGAATTCGAGGGTTTCGTCATTACAATTGCCATTGCCGACCAAATTTGGGCTTGTTTTGCTTTTTGGGGGAAGAGAAAGAGAGAGCGGGAAAAATTAGTCGGAGAAAAAAACGAATCATATTGAGTTTTTTCTATGTAATATATACCCCCAGATCAACAATATGATCGGAACGTTCACCTAAGTTCGGTGGTGGCGGAAGGGGATATCGGTGTCTGAGAGAAAAAGAAGGAAGATGAGGAGAGGAGGAAGGAGATGTGTTAGAAAAGAGGAGGAATGAGGAGCCATGACCAATAGATTTGGGGAGAAAAGAATGGAAGAGATGAGGGTATTTTGGAATTTTTTATTTTTTATTCTCTCTCTATGCTTAGTTGGCAGGGAATAATTACTAAAAAAGAGCTGCAACGCACATCGATATCTAATTTAAGGGCTGCAGCACATGAGAAAAAGTTAGAGGGGCTGTAACATATGAAGTTATTAATTTTTGGGCCTTGACACAATTTTTTCTAAAAAAATAGGAGGTCGTACTTTGTACGAGATGCACACTAGTATAAGGATATATATGCTAAAACTAGTTGTAGGCATCATGGAAGAAAAAGTATAAACATATAAAAACCATGGCCATTACAATAGTGATCACAGTGGCAAGTAGCGATATCAATGCATACTCCGATTGGACTAGGGGCAAATGTAGTAGAATATAAAATCATCTCTTAATCCTCATTATAACTTTAGAGTTTTAAGGGGTGTTTGTTTTAACTTTTTTTTTTAAAAAAAGGGTGGATTACAAATTCTAGGATGGAAAAGTGGGTTTTTCGAGTTTATGGATTCCATAACCTTTGTTTGATTCAAAATAACTTTTGGAATATTGAATACCCAAATAATAAAAAACTAATATATTATAGCATTTATGAAATCCCCTCTTTGAGAGAGGATTTAAGCTAAATTTCAAATTCTAATATTTGTAACTCTACAATTTGAGTTTGAAACAAACAAATACAAATTATAGGATTACATATCCTAAAATATTGATGAAACAAACAACATTTTAGAAATCCCAACCCATGTTAAAAAACCTACAGATTTCAAATCCCATGGTGAAATCCATATCCTAAAATTATAGGATTTGAAACAAACACGTCCTTAGTGTAATGATTATGAGACTTTGACATAGTATCACTGCACCCAAGTTTAATTCTTGTTGGTCACGAATTTCTAAGCGCATTTTGGAAAAAATTGATATAGCTGCGTAAATCTGTGTTTCTATCCATAAAAAAAACCATTCAATTAGGACATGTTAGAATATAAAATTATATCTCTCAACCATCACCATAATATGAATCAACAGCTAATATCAATCCAAACATATTATTAAAAAAAAATTCTGCTCATGTAGCAACGAGCTGCTTGAATCTGAAACCCTAAGCATTCAACCCTAACAAGCATGATCGGCCATTTCCTGATTGAACCAACATAGCTGGCATCTTCCTTCTGCTCATGCAAGATGGTTCTTGAAGTTCTTCGTGGATTCATTGATCGTTCTCTATGGATTCAAAGAGCAAACTTTGGTGGATTCTCATGTTTATCACTTCCGCGTTGCATTAACAGCCATATGTTGAATGTATAGCTGATAGTTCAAATCAAGTTAATGAATCTCATGGTGGAAGATCCTACAGATGTTTTTGATAGCCTTGTGTCGAATGCATGGTTGATAGTTTAGACCAAGTTGGTAAATCTTGTGGAAGAATGAGCAACCTAGTAGCTATACCTTTTGGATTAAAAGCCTTTTAAAATTAATTCCTAGCCTGTGATTAAAGCACATTAAGTCTAGGTTGGGCCCGATTACTCCCAATATTTCTCTAAACTTGGATGCTCTGTGAAGGAATTGGCATGTGTATTGTCATTCAGTAAAGAGGGTTTCGCCTCTCCAGCCATTAGTGCAATTGATCAAAATTTACGGCCCAAGTGCAAAAACTAAATTGAGTTAAGGTTTGTGTTTTGTAATTGCATATGAGAAAAATAAGCTGTAAATGATGTTAATAGTATTTAGGCTCTCCTAGTTGTTACATCGGATAGGTGTAAGACCACTGCTTCAGAGTGGGCGCAGCTTATTTTGTTAAATGAGCCGTTGGCTCATATCCATTGCCCCGTTTGTAATTACATAAACCTAGTTGACTATTTCATGTGTGTTTTCTAATTATATAAACATGTTTGATTTTGTCTTGGCTTCTGAAACTTAAAGATGTTTATATTTCCTTGTTCTCTAGATTTTGTTACAGGTTTGTCATCTGAATCTGTAAACAATGTCAAAAGAGAGTAATAACTTTGATTAACTACAAATCTGATGAATTTTTTTGAATGAAGAACATTCACGTTGGAGGACATAGCATGCCCGTTATGACAAGTTTTTAGAATTTTTACTTTAAATCTTGATATCGAGATTTTTTTCCAATAATTTCAAAAGATTTTTTTTTTACTTTTTATTTGATGGCCATAGTTTAAAAGGATTTGCACATGATATTTTTTTAAAAAAAATTAAGGGAGTGTGTACATAAGGGGGAAAAATCAAATGCTTTTAAGCATTTATATGTAGAACTTTTCAAATATATATGCAGGTGGGCCTAAATTTTGGACCCAGAGCATTTTTGATAAGTTGTCGAAGTGGCTTACAAGTCACTTTTGCTGCTCATAAATCAGTTTGACATGTTTAGTTTAGCAAATGGCTTATTTTGACAAATCAGCTTAATTTAACTTATTATTTATTAACTAATTATTGGAGGTAAGTATAAATAATGGGAGTTGAATTAATTAAGAGTTCATTTAATAATTTTGCCTTCTAATATTTATTTCAAGGTTGCTGGCCCGTCTTTGTCCAGTCCGGCTTTATTATAATACAGAAAAAAAAAGTAAACATCTGGTATAAATTAAACAAAAGGAATCAATTAAATTTTCCAAAAAACTTGAGTATTTTAGACATATGAAATTAAATAGCTGCTCAGCTAACCCAAACCCATCTGTTCCTTCACGTCAATACCCTTTTGAGAGATACTTCCCATAATCGAAAAATGGCGTCAAAAGAACCCCAGACCATAAGGTGCAAAGGTAAGAAGCGATTAATTTTAATTATCATATTTATGGTTCGGAATAAACCGCTCGTATTCAAAATGTTCTGATATGATATGTACTTACCGTAGCCGCAATCTGTTGGGGGCCCGGGCAGCCGTTAACAGTGGAGGAGATCGAGGTGGAGCCGCCTCGATCGTCGGAGGTTCGGATCCGAATCCTCTGCGCTAGCTTGTGCCATACTGATGAAACCGGGTGGAACGGCTATCCTGTTGTAAGTACAGTGATAAAGGAAACAACCAAGTCCCTTTTGGGTAAAATTCACTATACCCCCTGTAATTTTGGCCGTTAATGAGGTAGCCCCACTTAACTATTTTAATTTCACAAGGCGCCCTTAACTTTGAGGGGTTTCATACATAACCCCCTAAACTTCTTCTATTCGCTAGACCTATTGAGGAATGTCTGCTTTAACCTCACAAAATAGCATGGTCAAATATATCAAGCACATGTCAAAAAAGGAGAGAATACCTCTCATAACTAAAAAAAAAGAGTGAAGCGAAAAATCTTTTCAATGAGCTTAGCGGAATAGAAGAAGTTAAAAAGGGGTTATCTGTAGAACCCCTCACAGCTAAGGGGTTTTTATGAAATTAATGTAGCGAAGAGAGTTATCTAAAAACAACACACTCAACGGGGGTTGTGTGAAATTTACCAGCCTCTTTCTTCATGATAGTTGGGCGTTAAAGTAATACGTTGTACACGTAAGGATTTGTGTCTAATTGTGGCGCGTTTTTGGGTTTCTGCAGCCGCTATATCCAAGAGTCTTGGGGCATGAAGGAGTTGGGTAAGCACCTCTAAATCCTGTGTTTTCAAATCTATAGTATTTGATTTGCTTCAAAAAAAAAAAACTATGGCATTAATTTGATGTGTTTTTGGAAATTATCATACTTATAAGGTTAATTGTGTATAAACCCTCTGGTTTCTTTTCCTTTCTTTTTTTTTGGGTAAATAGATCCCAGAGTAAAACTTTTTTGGCTCCTTATATCCTTTTTGGAAAGTAATCGGATCCAATCTAGAATTAATGACCCTCCAACGGATACTAAGAATTAATTTTAACCCAAAAGGTATAATTGTTAGTCCCAACTTCTATTTTAAATTCATCACTCTTTCTAAACTATGCTTACACTACAAAAGACACAAAAACGTAGATTTTCTTCATGAATCATCAATTTTGAAGAATAATTTAAAATAATTTTGAGAGACGCCTATTATACGACCTAGATTAAGGGATGACATGTAAGGAATTAGGGGTGAAAAGTCAAAGCCTGAATATCAAGGAGTTGCCGGAGGCTCAAGAACTCTGCTCTATCCCTGCTCTGGATTGCTCTGAAGTGCTCCAAAAATGATCCCCCCTCAAAGAAATCACCTCGGGGGTATTTATAACCCCTGTATGAACAGTGCTTGCGAGACAGCATTTGCTGTCTCGGCGGACGAGAAGTATTTGCTGTCTCACCCAGCGAGACAGTAAATTTGCTGTCTCGCCCAGCGAGACAGTAAATACTGTCTTGGAAAACGAATATTCTTGACAGTTTCTCGCTGTAACTGTCTTCCCACGATTTAAACTCCGTTATTCTGGCAGTTATCAACGTGATTCTCGCCCACGACGTTTCCCACGTTCTTGAACAGTTAGTGGACGTGTATGGCAGTTGTTCCAGGTGGTTTTTTGACCATTTCAACACTGTCTCGCTGGCGAGACAGCAAACACTGTCTCGCTTGCGAGACAGCAAACACTGTCTCGCTGGCGAGACAGCAAACACTGTCTCGCGGGCGAGACAGCAAAGCCTGTCTCGCTGGCGAGACAGCAAATACTGTCTCGCTGGCGAGACAGCAAAAAGCCTGTCTCGCTGCGAGACAGTTCATACCTGCTTTGCTTTTCAATATGAGATCCCTTTGAGTGATCTTCTCTATGTTTGGGATATCTATTAGCATTTTTTGACGCCTACACCCGCATGTTGCGAAGCAGCCTGCGAGGTTGCCACAGTGGCAACTAACGTGGCCCCAAAGGATGCCACCTAGCCCCGATGCCTCCATGCGAAGTGCAAAGATCACCTCAGCCCGATTAGCCCCAATCCCAGGCTCATTGGCCCATGGTCCACGGCCCATGAGCCCACGAACCATGACCCACTAATACTTATGAGGAGTTAATTGATTTATTTAAGATAAAACAATTCTCGGTTTGCCTACGGCTAGCCTTGAACTGAGGACCTTTTGAAACACCAAAACTTTTACTTTCCACTATGCTACTAAGGATTTCTGAAAAATACCAGTAGTTAGTAAATATATAGTTTAAAAACTTATTTTGGAAAGCAGTTTTGACCAATAAATTCAACATAATTCACTTGGTATTGCTGGAGCTAAGGTGTCCAAGGTTTACTTGGCTAGTACTCACTGTGAACGAATGGGATGTGTGGTGGGCCAGACCCACGTGATTGCTCTTCACAGGTGAACGAACATCAGCAGAGCACACGGTTTCAAAGCGTGTGGGGGCCACATGAGTAGCATCTTGTGATAGACCCAGGCAAAGGCCCACCCGATTAACCAATAGGCTATAAATAGGAACATTGTTTTTTAGCCTAGGTTTTGGTGCAAGATTGAGAGGGGGAATAGGCAGGCGGCTGGGTGCAAAGGACGGAGCAAGGCTGGAGTCTTTTTGTGGGCGGCTACGAAGAGAGGCAGAGGACCGGATCTTGAGGATTTGCAGCTACAGGGAATTTTGGGGGCTGATTTTGAGCGCAAGAAAAGACTGTAGCAAGTAGCAAAGAACAGAGATTTTGGCGGCTATTCATAGAGAAGAAGCAAAGTCTTTTTGTAGTTGTTCTTTGATTTGTGCATCCCTTTGAGAGAGTATTTGTGTGAGGGATCTGAGAGTTTGTGAGAGGGTTTTATTTGTGAGATTGTAAACCCTAATTGTATCTCTCCCTCTAATAGTAGATCTCCCCCTCCTTGCCCCGTGGACGTAGGCAGTTTGCCGAACCACGTAAAAATTAGTTGTTTGAGTTTGTGGCCATTGTAATAGTTTTTAGGATCCCTCGACAGGTCAGTCCTAGAACTGATGAGAGGAAGAGCCGATATCTCACTTTGTTGAGATATTCGCTTCAGATTCTTGTCTCCTTGGTGAGACGGGAATTCTTATTGGGATCTTTCTCTATTATTGTGCACCAGAAACTCTGCCGAAATTTTCGCTGCGCACAACAAGTGGTATCAGAGCTCGGGCTACGCTTGGGCTATTTGGAGGAGTAGATCAATTTGGAGGCTCGCTCAGGGCTTCGTTTGGTGATAAAGGTGGGATCTTTTGATAAAGACTCTATCTTTTTAGTTTTGGATCTATTCTTTGTTCGTTGGTGCGTAAGATGTCGGGGAAAGAAGGTGCTTCGGATGTCGAGGGTGGTTCTTCTGGCACGAAGACCATTCAGAGTTTGAATATCCACTCTATAAAGATAGATGTGGAGAAATTTAATGGCACAAACAATTTTGGATTATAGAGATGCGAGGTTTTAGATGCGCTGAACGCGCAGAATTTGGATGATACCTTGAAGTTAGATGGCAAGCCAGATGAGATTGAAGAAAAGGTTTGGAAGAAGATGAATCGAACGACATGTGGTGTGATTAGATCTTGTTTGACTCAAGATCTAAAATATGATGTGATGAATGAGACTTCTGCAAAGAAGATTTGGGAGATTCTCGAAAGCAAGTATCTGACAAAGAGTGTTGAGAACCGCTTGCATTTGAAGATGAGACTTTATCGTTTCCAATTGAAGAAGGGAACCTCCATTAGAGATCACATGAACCACTACACTAAGCTTCTTGCGGATTTGACGAATGTGGATGTCATGATTAAAGATGAGGACAAGGCGTTGCTGTTGTTGAGTTCCTTACCCGACGAGGAATATGAGACCTTCGTTCTTACTCTTATTAATGGGAAGGCATCCCTTTCGTATAGTGAGGTCACTGCTGCATTGGTGAATTATCAGCTTCGGAAGAAGGATAAAGAGACTTCGACTGAGTCGGTAGCAGAGGCGTTGGTCGTAAGAGGGAAGGGTCCAAACCGAAAGAATTGGAAGTCACAGTCTAGAGTAGGACATCCTATAATTGGAAAAGATCAGTGTGCTTGGTGCAAGGAGACTGGTCATTGGAAGAAAGACTGCCCAAAGCTCGACGAATGGATGAAGAATAAGCAGAAGGGAAAAGGAAAGCAGCCATCATCAGAAGCAAACATTGTATCGGATGGTAATAATTCTGACTCTTCTATTTATTCACTTTCTATCAGTCCGAAAGATAGCTATTCGGAGGAATCCGAGTGGATGTTGAATAGTGGTGCGACCTATCATGTGTGCCCTAGAAAGGAATGATTCTCTAGTTTTGAGAAGCTGGATAGTGGAGTGGTGTGGTGTACATGGCTGATAACCGTGCATGCCAGATCCTTGAGATAGGAAAAATTCGCATAAAGATGTTTGACGGGACTGTTAGGGAGTTAAATGATGTGAGATATGTTCATTCTTTGAGGAAGAACTTGATCTCAATTGGAGCTTTGGTTGGAGAGGGTCTGAATGTTCGAATTGAGGACATGGTTCTCAAGATTGTGGAAGACTTTCGGATTGTGATGAAGGGCGTCAGGAGGAATAACCTGTATTACTTGACTGGAGGTATAGTGGCAGGTAGAGAACTGGCGACTTCTACTGATTCGACTAGACTGCGGCATTTGGGGCTTGGTCATTCCAGTATTGATTCCTCGCATAGATTAAAAGAGGGTGCGAAGACCTGCAGTTTGAAGTCCAGTGAACATGTTGATGTGAGCAAGAAGACCAAGGTGAAGTGTGGCACCTCTATTCACCGTGCTAATGGTCGTTCTGGAGGAGTTCACGTGGATGTTTGGGGGCCTTCCAAGGGGGCATCATTGGGAGGTAATAGGCGTTTGGTTTCCTTTGTTGGTGACTGTTCTAGGCGTGTTTGGGTTGCAACCAAATCCCCGATGGATAAAGTCCTAGTAGTCTCTAACAGTTTGAAGAAGTGTAAGATGGACAGAAAGGTAAAGGTACTTCACTCTAGTTTGGGTGGGAGATACAAGATGGACCTGTTTCTGTATTGGAGCCGAGCTCACAGCATTTCGAGACACTTCGTTGGAAAGGAAATCTTGGGGCAACTAAATAGGGTGACAAATTTGGAGAACCGTGCCTTGCTGGAGGAGGATCGGTGTTTGTGGTCGAGCAATGGTTTGTAGAAGAGTTTCTGGACAGAGGCTTCGACATATTTGGGTCATCCTATTAAAGAGTTGTCAACTGCTGTGATTGGAGGTATAACTCTATTGGAAGATAGGTCTGATTGTGTCACTTTGGATGAGGCTTCGATGAGGAAGCCAATTGACTCTCAGTAGGTGGAGCGTTTTGGACAGACCTTAGAGGTATCGCAGCGGGTGGAGATTGATGCTACTCCATATTGGGTGGGGATTTTCCCACATACTCTAGGTCATTCTGCATTGGTTGGGATTTCAGCTGAGGTGACACAGCGTGGAAGTCATTTGGATTCGGATGCAGATGATGAGTTGGGTTTTGACTCGAGTGCAGCTGATAGATGCAGTTTGGATATGACCATTGGTTCACCTCAGGTGGAGGTGTTTGAGGCCATTGGAGGTGCTATCAGCCACAGAGTTGATGATATTGGAGAAGGGTTGCGAACTCTTCTAGTGAATTGAAGTCTTTGGAGGTCATTTGAGTGAACTACGTTCGGCTTGATTCCTTGGGCAAGAGGATACGTAGGCAGTCTTTATGATGCAGCCGGTTTGGATTTTGATGGGGTGAGATTGATTTGGTGAGTTGATACTGACATTTGGAGAGTGTTTGCATTCTCATTTGGGTTCTCGACTTGTTATGGATTGAGTCCGTTGTCGTAAATTATTTTACTTCGTACTGGACACAACAAGTGAGATATTTGGTTTGGTCGGTGTCGGCTTAGTTTTGAGAAAACTTCGCCAAGGTGGAGAATTGTGAACGAATGGGATGTGTGGTGGGCCAGACCCACGTGATTGCTCTTCACAGGTGAACGAACATCAGCAGAGCACACGGTTTCAAAGCGTGTGGGGGCCACATGAGTAGCATCTTGTGATAGACCCAGGCAAAGGCCCACCCGATTAACCAATAGGCTATAAATAGGAACATTATTTTTTAGCCTAGGTTTTGGTGCAAGATTGAGAGGGGGAATAGGCAGGCGGCTGGGTGCAAAGGACGGAGCAAGGCTGGAGTCTTTTT